TGCTAAGGTCATGATAGTTTATATATATATATAAAAATAACAAATAACAAAGCTAGAATTTGCGCTCAAGAGTGGTAAGATCAGCATGAAGTGCTGAATTTTTTTTATTGTAAAATTTCATAAAATTCGAGGAAGCGTTTTCAAGGAAGCATTAAAAATTTTTTTACTGATCGCGGATAAAATATTATATTTCAGTGTTCAATGTTACACACATTTCCATCTTCAGTTCTTAAATATAATTAATTTACATAAATCCCGAATTTTCCCGAACTTAATTTTAAAATGAATGTTGCAAATTGCAATTCCTATTCCTGAAAAATTAAGTATCAGCTATTGAGATTAAGATTAAGATTGAATTTGATCAATCAAAGCAAAGTTTATTAAATTTGATACTGATTTCCTTTCTTATGGTTGATTCAATGAATTTCACTTTTAATCTCAATTTCAATAGTCTGATACAGGCATTACACGGCATTGCAATGATAAAGTTCTGTTGCTTAAAGTGTGGACACGGCTTTAAATGTCTCGTTTAGATATTAAAGTAGTAGATACCCAAGAGTGCGATAACGCTCGTTTCCCAAGAAAGGATTTCTCTCCCACAAAGGAATCATTTTAATTAGATCGTTAATTAAAATTAATAATAACAATCCTACGCGCCGGATGGCCACGTTCCGCTCATTCGAAACAAACGGCGCATTACATTAATGGATCCTAATATCCATGTACGCGACACGTTTTAATTAACGCAGACAATAATTAGTCGGAATCGCGGGAGCATCGACCGACGTAAATCGGATTATATGGGGCGTTGCACGAATTTTCGATGGCCGATAGTGGCGTGTGGTACGATATGATCGACACAACGATGTCGATAGACGAGAAGGACTTCTCTGTAGGCTTTACATGTTCATATATAATTATCCAATGTAACCACGGGCCTTCCCAACAGAAACGTAATTAGGCTGTCGCACAGATTTGAGCGAAATGGAGAATTTCTCATGAGTTGTGGAACATCAAAATGGAATGATAACAACCGTTGTAAAGTATTCTGTTATAAACTCTTCTGTTATAAATTAGCATATAACAGAAACAATAATTTTACGATGCTTACGTTTTTTTCACAAAATTAGATAAAATATTAATATATCCTTATCTTTTTCTCTAATCATTATAATCGTTTCGGCAGAGCGTTAATGCAGAGTGCATAATCGCGTTTTTGCATTGGTGCATCGAGTTGCCCTGTTGCATTACAGCTAATTATAATAATGATCAGCTATTTCAACCCGCACGTTTTCGCGAGAGCGAGATAACAGATATTAAATGAAACATTTGTGAAAATTAATATATATATTTTACATGGGCATGTGTACGCTGCAACAAACAGCTTGCTTCAAGAGTGCGTTGCAATTAATTGCAACGTTCAAAAACGTGTTTCATAACTGACTGAACGATAATTTGAAATAGTCAATTACACAATAATTGATTGCACATAAGAATATATTCGGAAGTAACAAAATATAAGCTGTCTGTGTAACAAAACGCACAGATGAAACGATATAAATCACATGTAAAATATGGTAGAAAAACGATAGAGAATTGGCAGTTTATGGAGGAAGACATTCACGGTCATAAAACGTTCTTATTAAACAACCAATCATTCGCAATATTGAACAATAAAATCTTAGATAAAAATCATATCATAAATTTGTAGATCACACAAATTTATGTTCGTAGCCATGTATTACGCAAATAAATCTTCTTTGTGGCGATAATAAATTTACTCACGATAGGTCTCATTATTTCGACAGGCACACAGTTAGTCCATTCAATATGTTTTTAAATAATAAAAATACGAAATAATTCATCATCTCGTAAAAAATAAAACAATTCGGTTTCGGCTTGGTCGAGTACCTCGTTAACCATAACAAGGGAGCTTGAAATTTTTGCTTAAATAATTAACGTTCCTGTTATGTATTGTTTGTGATATCAGACGAAAATGTTAGTCACCACCGCAAACTGTGGAAGCGAATAAGACCGGCGACGACGAGGACGATAGGAGGAAACACGAGACCCCCAGACTTACAAAGAGCATAGAATTCCGAGGTAAGAGGAGCGGTGTAAGAGGGACGCGAGAACG